TTTAAGAGTTTAAGAGTTTTAAGAGTTTAAGAGTTTTTAAGAGTTTTAGTCAAATGTTTTATAATATAGTATAGATATAGATAGTATAGATAATAGACTAAGGTATATACTTGCATTGAGATCTATTTGCATGGTATGCTCAGAAGCAAATGATGCTTCTGAGCCTTCTTTGACAACGTCCTCTAAGTTCTCTGACTTGCTTGATCAAAAGGTTGAACACCTAGCCGTTCTTCAAAAGGATTTCCTCACAATATTTTTACAAAGAACAAAAATTGAGGCTTCTGAACATATAGCCTTTTGCGGTAAAAAAACCCTAATTTTACGTAACATAATCTTGTTCAGATCAAACTCTTAACATAATTTTGAAGAAACCTACGGATGTTCCACATTGTCGGAGACATCCATAAAAAAGGAAGCTTTGTTACAGAGAGTTTGAAGTTGAAGGTGGAGGTAGACGATACAGATAATAACAAGAAGTTTTTATCAGGGTTATCAAGATGGAGGGGTGGGTTGAAGGGTAGGTTTAAAGTGAAAAAGACGACATTACCCTTGCGTGCAAGTCACTTGGTGTGGCTTAAGTGCTTAACGGTAGCGTTGCTAATAGAGTTAGAGGGAGGAACCAAATATGGACACTCTTACAAACCACGCTAACCATCTTTTTATTTTTAAAACCATAAGGACAAAAATGTGTTATATCCGACATACAATAGGGACCAAATTGTAGTTTAGTCTACTAATACACTAGTGATGGCCAAAAACCGGTTCCGGGCCCGTCTGGTCCCAATCGGTCCCAAATTTTCTCATAACCGGCCATAACCGGTCCCGGTCCTGGTCGAAAATGGTAGGACTGGTCAAGGTACTTCATAACCGGTTATAGGCCGCCGGTCCCGGTCAGGGCATTAAAAAATAAGATTTTCTTAATTTTTTTAATGATATATATTTTTAATACATTATAAAATTTACAATTGGATCACTCAAATACACTTTAAAAATGCGTTTTAATATAATTAAAATTACATTGTCTTATAAAAATATATTATAAAATTATTTAAAAATACATTTATTTATAAAATTATTTGAATTTTTGGGTCGGGTCGGGCCGATCCATAGCCGGTCCCATAACTGGTCCCGATCCCACGAAACTACCAAAAGCCCCAACGCTGTCCCGGTTTTCGATCTTATAACCGGTCCTTACCGCTGCCTTTGCTGGTCTTCCAACGGTCCCGGGCCAGGCCGGCCCGATTTGGCCATCACTAAATTACACTATAAAATTGGATGAGAAGTGCTGGACTACATGTAATTAAACAAGGCCCATACAGAAAACCTTTGAGGCCCATTATGCATTATGTCGAATAGGTTCTGCAACTTATATACCGCCTCCTCTAGGGTTTGGTCGTGCAGTTGCTGCTTGCGAGTGCGGAGGAGAGGCACGACAGACCACCGGAGTTTTTCGAAGAAAATCATACAAAAGAAACATGGTATGATCCATCTCTTGTGTTAAATGTTTCTTTATTTAATTTATAGATTTAGTTTGAATGCTGATTTGCATTTGCTAGTTTTCTTAGTGCTTCTTAATGTACTTTTTGTAATGTATAAGTTAATTACAATTTAAGTGTTAAATGCAATCTGCATGTAATTTAGGTCTTGTTTGATGCTCCATTAGTCTATGGAACTCTTTGTTAAGTGGTCGATGTTTTACTTGAAGAGTGCTTTGATGCTAATAGTTTGGCATCCATTGTATATCTATTACACTTTTTGGAGAGTTTGTTCTAAAATTGGTTGATTGTGATGCTTGAAACCAATACGAAGGGTTTGATTGCGTTTTTAGAAAAGGAAATTGTGTTAAAGTATCTTTCTAGCTCAAGTGAAGTAGGAAATTTTATGGATTTCTAATGCACAAAATCGGTGATTCAGGTTTTACCTTCTCACTTTAAGCATTTTGAAGCCTTTGTATGCAGTTTGTGTAGTGAAGGATTTTGCTTTAATGTAGATAATTTTTCAAGGGGTGGACTTGGGTATGGTGCCAAGTTTTTTTTCCCAATACGATGTATAAACCAATTATAATTGAATATGTTTTTGGTTGGTACATGTTAGTACTGGTTTGTACCAACTTCAATTTATATATACAAAAACTTGCAATTTTATTCAAATTTTGAATTTCATTTTGTGTTTGCAAGTAGCACATATCATATTTACAGGTTTTGCAATTGCAAAGAGTAAACCTTGCAAATATTGAAATGCTTAAACAAAAAAAGTTAAAGTTACTATGTTTAATATTTAATACATCAAAAGTACACAAATTGTAAGTAATTAAATAAGTAGGTAATGAAACTACCATGGTACGTGACTCCCAATACTATATACCAAACAGGGTTTTCATACTTTGTATGGTATTACCAACCGACTTCATTGGTACACATGTTGGTTGGTTTGGTATGGTACAAAATTGCCACCCCTAAATTTTTGATAGAGGACTTGGTGAAGGATGATGTTGTTTTGATAGTGGGGTTACTGACTTTGTTCTGTGTTGTGTTAAAGGCTAGAGGTTTGAAGAAACATATGAAGAGGCTCAATGCCCCTAAACATTGGATGCTTGATAAACTGGGTGGTGCTTTTGTAAGTCATTCTTTCCGAACTTATTATTGCTGTTGATTCTCTATAGTTGTTTTTGCGTTGGATTGTTTGTTGTTATTTTTATTTACATTTTGTCATTTGTTGTCTAGGCTCCTAAGCCTTCGTCGGGCCCCCATAAATCCAGGGAATGCTTGCCTTTAATTCTCATTCTTCGAAATAGGTTGAAATATGCTTTGACTTACCGTGAGGTCATATCTATTTTGATGCAACGTCATGTACTTGTTGACAACAAGGTCAGGACTGACAAGACTTACCCTGCTGGTTTCATGGGTTAGTACTCTGCATTCTTTTGTTTTTATTTTTCATGGGAATCCATAGTAGTTTCTTTTTGCTATGTTTCGCTTTTATGATGTTGCTATATTCACCCAAATATCAAGGCTTATAAGTCTTGATGTTGATGTGTGGAGAAGGAAATTAGTAGGTAGGGGTGCATTTAGCCCACCTTTATATAACTTAGTTTGGGAGGGTTTAAAAAGATAGGATTTGTTGATGTTATTCATGTTCTTGTATTTCTAGGTTCACCTATTGATAATATTTATTTCAGCCAGTTTGGGATAAAAATCTTATTGATATTGAAACGCTTAGTCAAGTCATCATTTTGGGACATGATACTGTATGATTGTACATAGTTCAGTTGATTGGAAAATTATGATGTTAGTGTTTTGCACCGAAGGCTGATGTGGTCTTTGGAAAGTGTGTAATCAGTATCTAGTTTATCCTTTCTCAAACTTTAAAATAGCATTTTGAATGATATACTGAAGAGAGAATTTTTTCCTGAGCAGACTTTTAGTTTCTTCCAACGTGGGTTTATGTAAATTGTTCTGATGATTTCTTTGTTTGTAACAGATGTTGTTTCAATTCCCAAAACCAATGAAAACTTTCGTATTCTTTATGATACAAAAGGTAGATTCAGGCTGCACTCGATCAGGGATGAAGAGTCAAAGGTTAGTTTACTTTTATTTGGTGGATGCTAGTTAGTTTATTTGAAATTGCATATCTGTTACACTTCCATAATCTAAGAAATGCGGCGCACTATCTCTGAAGTTGGTCAACAATCCAAATGGGCATTGCAACAAAATTGGTTTTGAAGGACTGAGTTTATAGAATCAAACCAAAAATGTCTTATCTAATAGTGTTACAATAGGTTTATACGACATTTTAGGTGTTTCAAGAAGTTTTTTAGGACACGTTTAAAATAATGACACTCTAGAAAATCGTCTTGTAAAGACAAGTGTTCTATAAAAAGATGGGTTTATAGGACCTTTTCAGAAGAGTGATATAAAATAGTTACTAGATACTTTATTTTGAAAGCACCCTAAAATACTTGTTAAAACATGCAAAATGTCCTATAAACCTATTGTAACTCTTTTCATATAGGATGCTTTATAGCTTGGTTCTATGCACTTGAGTTGTATAAAGTATTTTATTAGGACACTTGGACATTCTTGGTGTTCTGTAATGCCTTTTTTTATATATTGGGGGAATTATTTGTTGAAAGAAATGTTGCATTCGGATTCAGATGGGGTATATTTGGCTTGATTAAACTAAAACGATGCGTCTTTTTTGTAGTTCAAGCTGTGCAAGGTTCGTTCTGTTCAGTTTGGGCAGAAGGGCATTCCTTCCATAAACACCTATGATGGCAGGACTATCCGCTACCCTGACCCTCTCATCAAGGCTAATGACACCATAAAACTTGACTTGGACTCTAGCAAGATTGTCGATTTCATCAAGTTTGATGTCGGAAATGTTGTGATGGTTACAGGTGGAAGAAACACAGGCCGTGTAGGAATCCTTAAGAATAGGGAAAAACATAAGGGTAGTTTTGAGACTGTACACATCCAAGATTCCACCGGTCATGAGTTTGCTACCCGTTTGGGCAACGTTTTTACTCTCGGAAAGGGTACAAAGCCATGGGTGTCTCTTCCTAAGGGAAAGGGTATTAAGTTGACCATCATTGAGGAGGCTAGGAAGAGGCAGGCTGCCTTAACTGCCAGTGCCTAGATTGGAAAATTGATGGGTTTTTTATAGCTTATATTACAGTATCTGAAGTTAACTTGTTTTGTTTAGCATTTTTGGGTATATTTTGAAGGTTAAATTGGTTTTTGAAACAATGGATTTTGCTGAATGTAGGCCATCTCTTTTTGTTTAGTATGTTGCCATTTGTTCTATGTATTTGATGTCTGTGTGGGTATGATTAGGACTATAAAAAACAGTCAATCTCTGTATCAATGGTTCTAAAGGGCCTTTTGATTTGACAATTTCTTTTGAGGAATTTGATTTCTTAGAAGAATTTGGAATTGGAATGATTTGTAATTTTTGATGTGTTTGGTTTGTAGGATTTGAAATAGAATTAAATTCTATTTTTTATAAATAATTTATGAAAACAAATTATAAAAATAATTAAATTATCTTTCTATTAATTGATCCTTACAAAAAAGTTTTTAACATATTCTAAAACATTATTATATACAACCCTACAAAATCCTACGAAGATAGCAGATTAAAGTGGAATCCAATTTCATTTACAATCCAATTCTACAAACCAAATATTTGAAACTAGAAATTTTTAATTTTATATAAATAGGTTTTGTATGTTGGGTATCTTGGATATCTTGGAATGCGATGGCAAACATTTAATAACACATGCAATCAAACAACATCTAAACTACTTGATACATTGCATGTAATTTGGTTTGGTTTTAAACATGAATTGGGAGTAGTTTACCAAATGCTTATTCGGATAAGTGTTTACCGGCAAAAATTAACATTATCATTTACTTACCATATAAGATTTTAATCCACCAAAATGGTATCAACTATAACAATTTACCCGGTAAGATTTAATTGTGGTAAGAGTCATCTCTCTCACTTACCAGGTAAGATTCTTGGTACTTGCCTTTGCTCTTACCGGGTAAGATTCTTGGTATTTACCATATTCATCCAGTAAGGTAATGTTACTTGATAAGCGCTTACCCAGGTAAACATTTGGTAAACACCCCCTTGTTTATTCAGATCCAATATTTTCAACAAATTGTTTACAAATTTCATTCAATTATTTATATAATAGACTTAAAAAAAATACTACATGTAAATAAATATCCATACAAATATATACCTTTATTAGTTTTTTGTTTACAAATATTCTATAAAAAACATTATTACATAAAAATTCATAATGTGTAATATGTAACATAGATATTTATATTGACGTTGTTTATGATATACTAATAAAAATTGATGAAAGTAATAATTCACTTAATGATAAAATAATGTTTTTGATTCCAGATAACATTATAATATAAAATACGCATCTCTCTTCTAACATTTCACAAACTAAAGTGAGAATATTGTTGATTTTTTTGTTTTTTTTATCTACACCTTCATCGTAACTCAAAATTTCTCTCAAAATCTTTTGAAACTCAAGAGAATTAACATTAATCGAATATCTCACACTAACCTCTTGTTTGGATAACATCAATCGACAAGATAAATTTGAGATCTTCAAGCCTCCTGTTATGTTAGAATTCTGGCTACGCCCCTGATAGAAAGTAGATGAATGTACTGAAAATATTTAAAAAATTAAGTTAGATTAAAAAGTCAACTCATCCAAAGGCTCATAAGTGTTATTACTATTCTATTTTGAAGTCTTTTTTCACTAATTAAGATAACTCTAAAGAAAATCAAATATCCAAATTTATCTTATATTTTTCCTAACATTTTTTTGGATAATTATCAATTTCTATCGAACTTTTCATCTTGAAATTATTGGCGATTTTACAATATACAAATCAAACTAAATATCATTTGCCTGAATATCATATTTAAACACGCATATCTATGTTCTTCATTGGTAGTTTGAAATGTAACCAAATGCAAAAGACCCCAACAAACCATTATCAGATAACGATAATTAGATGTATATTAGTTCATATGTGAAAATGTGACTCCTAAAATAAGTTCACATATAAATCCTAACTAGGTTCACATTGAATCTTAATCATAACTCGTAAGTGAATCAACTTAAAACTTATAACCGGGATTCTGAATCAGTTTAAAATTTCATATATGAACATGTGAATTATAACATAGATTCACATATGAATGTTAATTATAGTTTGTACGTGAATAAATTTAACGCTTATAATCGAAATTTTGAATCAGTTTAAAATTAATATGCGAATCTTAAAAAAATATATCATCATGGATCTTAAATTAAACATAATGAAAATCTCGTTTTTAGGTATAATTTATATAAATAAATATTGATTATATTTTAGATAATTTAGTCTAAAAGAAAATGAGTAATCTAATTTTTCTTTAAAAAAAAAGTGGGCAATGTTTTGAAAAAGGAGTGGATTAATGATCTAATGAGTTGGATTAGTGATTTAATTATACAAATGTTTCAAAATGTTTCTCTCAACTTTCTTAGGTTCTTTAAATTAATCATACATTTGTCTATATTTACATATTTTACCATTATGACCCTTTTTTAGTTTCTAGGGTCTATTTCTTAGTTCAAGATCCCTTTTATTAACTGGAATCGAATTGGAACCGGGACAATTCGCAGAATTAGAATAGAATTCTCATAAATTAATTCAAATCAGCACGTGGAATCCGACCCACTATTAATGTGGGTATCTCTGTTTTTCTCATCTAATGGTCTCACGTTCTGAATTTTTTTGGGTTTCTCATTTGAACCATTTCATATACATAGTTGGATTTCGGTGAGAAGAAGAGTTAAGACGAGAAATGTAAGAAGAGATCGCTCCACATGGGATGCACATTAGAATGAGATGCACCAGATTAATCTCCGTACCAAGCGTCCATGCCATTTCTTACACTTCTCAGCTTAACTCTCCATCTCAGATGATCTTTCTCCTTCACACACACACACACGCACACACACACACACACACACACACA